TTACAGGATGAATTTTGTTGAGCTGGGTGGTACCCACAGGGTCAACCACTCATTGAATGTTGGACACTTCTACAGGAATCAGCTGAAAGTCCATTTCAAAAGCTCACACTATTCAAAGGTAATGCATTTTCTTGGCAGATTTTGCTGTTTCTTATCAGTGCTTTTTAGGATGTAAAGAGATCAGCTTGAGTGTGTTAATGTTTTAAAATCCTTGTTCCTGTGTATAATCTGTAATTATATATGTGTATGCAGGCAGCAATATTTGCTTATTAGAGGTTATGCTTCCTGCTTTACCTCTGTTGTATTTTACTGCTTTTTCTCAAATGTAAATCTATGTATAGCCCAGTGTACAAAATGCAGAAGTTTGGGGTATGTATTATATCGGATAGGCTACAGACTGCTATGAATCAGAGAATGTAATACAGATCAGCATATGTGATGTACAGCAGTGTGCAGTGCAATGGAGTAAGGAACATGCAGCACAGTGTATATAATATGGACGCCGTGTAACAAATATTACTAAACATTTACTAAACTGTCCATGTTTTCCAGCTGCCATTGACTGCAAAAGGTAGTGCTACCATTTTGCTTTCCATTTATTTTTAAGAAATTGACTCTGCCTTAAAATGATAAATAATTTGGTGTTTAAAGTCAACAGTCAATATATGCAAATGCTTACAAAATATCACAATATTTATAAATTAAAAAAGGTATAATTACACTGAATTATGTTTACCTGTAAATGCTGTATTTTGGCCTCCAAAGTTTTGCTGTCTCCAGACCAGTCTGAAGAGCCTTGAATCCCCCTTTTTACTTCTTCAAACCATTCCCCAAATTCATACATAGCATCTACATTAAAAAAAGGCACACAACATACAAACATAAATTATTTTGGATTCATTCATTCATTTCATAATTCATTGAGAGGTTCAGGTGTTTTCTGCTTTTTGTTTTTTTACCCTAGGCATAAACGAGCAGTTACCCCTTGCAGTGCGGGGATAGCCCCACTGCAAGGGTTAATACAATTTCTGCCCCGAGTTCTTCTTTAAGAAAGAATGGATAACGGTGATACTGGAGAGCTCTGAAAACATGACAATGCATAGTGGAAAACAATGGAAATAACACTTCTGAAATCAATGTGGCAATAATGAAATGGTAAAATTGTCATCTGCTGATTACTACAGGAAAATGTACATTTCTTCTACAGGACTCAAAGTGTAGAAAACTCACAATTATTATTAAAGCTGAACTGCAAACACATATTAAAAGCACAAATGAATGTAACTCTGTAATCATTAGTGTACCACACAATTTATTTTTAAGCAAGCAGTCTACAATATATACCTGAATTTCACTTAGGATCAGTCTCTTGCAGTACAGTATTATTATTATTATACAGGATTTATATAGCGCCAACAGTTTGTGCAGTGCTTTACAATATAGGGAAGACATTACAATCACAATACAAATCAAGACAAGATGGTAAGGGGGGCCCTGCCCTTGAGGGCTTACAATCTAAAAGGGAGGGGGAAGTGATACATGAGGAGGGAGCTGTGTGGATAACAGGAGAAGCAGCATAATGAGCCAATCAGGTGTGCTGCAGTGCAAGGGGCATACTGATAGCAGAGAACAGTGTCCAGTCACAGGTAGGGAATGAGGAGAAGAGCTGTAAGTGAAAGTGAAACTGCAGCCGAGATAAAATCCAGTTCCCTCCCCTGCCAAACAGCACTGTCCTGTTTGGCAGAGCTGTGTATGGCCTTGTTCACATGTGCGGTGAGGGGGCGGTAAAACCATAGTCTTGGTGTGGTTTTACCACACACATTGCCACGGCCATGATGCTATTCGTTGCGGCAATAAATCAACAGTGTGTCATGTTTGACAGACGGTGCCGCTTTTCAAACACGAAAATTAAAAAGAATGGGTTCTTCAATAGAATAACCCACTGGGATTAAAAAAAACATGCATTCAGGAGGCAGCAGTATTGCCTCCTGAACACTGGGCAGCTGTTGATCCATTGCCCTCTGAAAAACAATCTACCGTGGATCACTTTCCAGGGGGCAGTGGGGTGTCAAGCCCATGTGAACAAGGCCTAAATCTCAGAACTGGCTGGACAGAAATATAAATCCTATATAATAAAGCAGCTCTTATGTATGTATTTCATCTGTGTATTTATCTGTTTACTTAGAGTTCAGCTTTAAAAATTAAGAACCTATTAATTCATCAGATAAAGAATAACTTTTTCATACTAAATTATGGTCTGTGTATGATTTGTGATCATAGGTGTGGCACAATAAAATTGGCTAAGGAGCACATAATTAATGTTCAGCTCTTGATGTCTTCCCCCTGCAGAGAGCAGAAACTGTCAGTCAACGCTCTCCGCAGGGTTTCCCCCCTTCCATTCTTTTCCTCCAGTGGGGGGAACGGGCACAGCTGGCTCTAGAGAGGCAGAACCAACTGTCCCTTAGGTAGCCAGAGTTGATCCCGACAATATTGTAAGCATCCTTACGTGCTGTGGTGCGGCTCTGCACTCTCAGCACACAGTGGGCATTAGCCTGATATCTTCTGACTTTGGGTCACAGGAGTACATTAGTAAATGTATTCCTGTGACCCAAGAGAGAAGTAAAGGCAAAAAAGGGTTGGCTTTACTTCTCTTTTAAGCAGTAAACATACAGTATATGCATTTTTTATGTATATTTAGCTGTTTTCCTGAAGATTTACATTAAGTAAACTTTACTCCGTCATATAGTATCTTACCATTAAATTGTTTTTCCAGTGTCTCTTGCAGAGTAGCCTGTGTTCTAAGGCAGAGCTGGTTGGTGGCTTCATACTTCTTTATCAGTGCAGTCAGGGCTACCCCAACAGCCTCAAGCTCAGCAGACCTGTATCGTCGGCACAGAGAGTTCAGATTCTCTTGTGTTGCGTCAATGCTGCTTTGCTGGGCCTGGAACTCTTTCTGCATTTCCTGCATTGTAAGACACTGGATTACTATTTTGTTACAGACCCAGTTCACAAGAAAATGTTTGCATTACTTCTAAGCCCATACCATTTTCCCTTTGCATCAGAAAAAGAAACCTTTTAGGGCACACAGGCAAATGCCATTTTTTAATAGACGTATGATACTGTCTGGTACCTACCAATAATGTGGCAGGTGCTAGTATGGGTAAATACCCGGCACCTATGTCTACATTATATAAGAAGAAAGAACAACTGGAATACACATGTAACATAGTTCACCAAAGCAGCTCCACAGTACAGTCTGGATAGACGTTCATGCTTACAGCTCTATTTACAGGTGACATGAAAAAGAACATATGGGTTGATAACATAGCATAGAATCCATATTGAAGACAAAATATTTGCAGTAGCAAGCCATTATCAATTTAAATGGTTGAATTTTAATTGTAGTCAACAGGTGAATGAAGGCAACTATACAACTTTCAGTCTCCTCTGTAAACATATTCCAAGGGTAAAAATTTAAAAGAGAACTATGGCCCAACTTTTTTTTTGCCATATTTCACAGGGTCACAGGAGGACATATACTAATGTTCTCCTGTGACCCAAAACTCAGGATATAGCAGGCTATTGCCTGCTATATTCTGAGAGCGGAGAGACACGCTACAGCCGGGACAGATCCCGACAATATTGTCGGGATCCACCCCACTACCTGATTGACAGCTGGCTCTAGATCTCTAGAGGCAGAGCCAGCTGTGCCCACCCCCTCTTCCCTCCAGTCAGCGCTGGAAAAACAGAGAAGGGAGGGGGGAAATCCCTGTGGGGAGTGCTCTCTGCAGGGAGATAATCAGGAAATGAGCGATCCGTGGTATGTGATCGCTCAGTTCTCGATCAATAGAGCCGACGTGTGACAGCTTCAGTATCACACATCGACTCTAATTATGAGGATGAGTGTTTTTCACTCTCCTCATAATTCTCCTTTAATGTAACATTTTACCTCTTCATTTCTGTATCAGTAAATCAAAGAACAAATACATTTCATAAAATCTGATACTCCGTACACGACAGCTATGCAATCTTAGCTATGATCCAGCTAGTCCAAAATACTATATACCTGAGTTTATTTAGGTCTTTACCTTAAGTTTTTTCAGGTCTTCAGGTTCCTGGCTGTTTGTATATTTTAAAATGGATTCTTCAACTTTATTAAGCCAGTTAGTCATCTGATCAACGAAAGTTTCCAGTTGCATCTTCTGAAGACTAAAGTCATTCAATGTCCCCTTGGCCACTTGGGAAACTTCTTTGGCATGCTCCAGTTTCTGCCTTAAATCTGCTTCCATGAACTAGAGAAAAAAAAAACAAATGTATTACAGAAAATATCCACAATAATAAAATAAGCAGCAGTTATTATTATAGTCTTACACAAGACTAAATGAATACTGCTTAGAAAGGTTTAGGTGTTGCTTTGTTTCTCTCTATTGGTGTTGATGATGTCAAATAAATATTCCTCAAACCAACCTTACTTATATGAGGACATACTGTTATAACAGTGGGAATGTCTATACCTCTTAGCTTTTCAAAAGCTAATTCTTAAAGGGGAACAAAACCTTACAAATTGCTATGAGGTCTTTCCTGCTAAAAAAACGTCTTCCTCTTTTGCCTAGCAATTTGTTTCTTTGTGTACACTGCTTGCAACAATAAGATCGGATGAGCACAAGTACTACTTCTGTCTCTTAAACAGATGTTCATGTTTTTGTACTACCATCCAGGATTATGTATGCTACACAGAATATTTTTAGTCTCACAGATCCTCACCTGACTTACAATACTGTGACAATGTGCAGATACACATATACAAGATGACTGTATTCCTATGATAAGAAAAATTGTTTGCCGGATAAATAGCCACCTCTTTTTTATTCTCCCTCCTATAGGTACGAGCCTACTTAGCCTAATGGTAAATCTGACCTTGTCTGTATAGTATTCCAAGATTTAAAATCATTTATTGATGGCCAAAACTGTATGTGCTTATCTAAAATTGAGACCTTTGAATGTTACTCAACAATTGTTTTCCATTTTAAGAATTACTTTAGGGGAGAGCAACAGTGTCACACACCGGCAAGGTGTACTCAGTGATCCATGCTCTCACACTGCCTACTTATTGTAAGGTTCAGTGTCAGAATTTTGTCACTACCCAGTATTTGGGCTGGTGGTTGGGAAAAGGGGGGTGGGGCTATCTGCAAACAATGAATAGGTAAACTGACAGCGTCTCTTTAAGAATGTATAAAAAGAGTATTTTACAAGGCTATAAAACAAATGACTAAGTTCACTAAAGCTATAAAGGTGCCCATACACCTTACGACCATCGCAAGACTTTTGTCTTGCGATGGTCGTATGCTTCTTGAAAGCTTGTACGATCTGCCCACCTTGGACGGGCAGATCGTACTTGCGATCATCGAAAGCCCGCCCCGCTGAGGGGCGGGCTTCCGATGACGGCAATGCAGAACGGGCAGTGTGCGCACACCGGCCCGCTCCGCAGCTATCGGACGAGCAGGCTAGAAACCTGCCGAGAATCGTACGATTCTCGGCGGGTTTTCGAACATGTTGGCTCGACAAAAGACATGCGACCGTACAGTAGAAACGGTTGCACGTCTTAGTTCACACTGCTTGATTCTCGTACGATCGCGGGATTTCGCCCGATTCTCGTACGAGAATCGAGCAGTGTATGGGCACCTTTACAATCATCGTTATAGAAGGGTTTAGAATAATAGTCACCTGACTAAAAATAGAGATCGATATGGCAAAAAACATATGCATTGTAACTGAGTGAATTGAGACTACAATCTCTTACAATAAAAATGCTTTCTCCCAGCAATCAACCAATCTGGATTTTTTTCTGTTTAAACTGGGTCATTATAGATTATTGCACTTTTTCTATCATTATTTCATTTTGCGCTATTTTGTTAAACACACATTATGATCTTTCCCAATTAGATATTAGCTTCAGCAATCGAATATGCTACCGAGGATTTTGAACTAGTAAGATTATTGTTAACATTGTGTGCAATCTATTTTTAGAGCTGGCCTTGCCAGAGAGCAGAACACAAACTAGTATAAACGTTTGGATTTTTAGAAAACAGTTCTGACATCAATTAAGACCATAATACTGACCTGCAGTTCTGAAGGGGGCTCCTGGCTCTTGGTCAGCTCTTTGAGTTCATAAACCTTGCAATGAAACTCCTCCAGTTTCTGTCCTTTGTTTGTTACTTCAGCCTGTATCATTGCAGTGAAGAAAATGGAATGGAGAAAGAGAGCGAGAGTGCAATGTTAAGACTTTTTTCCAGCAATCCCTTGATTCCTGGCCAAGTAAAACTCCCCAGTTTAGAGTACGTAAATGAGTAAGAATGTTTCCAGTGTCTTAAATTTGGTGTCCTTATGTTTAATGAGAAAGGAAAATGTACTATTCCTGCTACGGTACTGCTAAGGCACAGGAGGAAACATGCTCCTAAAGAGAACCAGTCATGACTGGGCTTATGCAAGAATTTAAGCATGCAATCCTAAATTAAATTTAGCTCTGACAGTTTACCTTTTAAATATTTAATGTATCCCTTATTTAATTTGTCTGATGATGATCCATGGAGCTGGAAATCAGATGTAAGAGGCAGGGCCGGCCTGGCCCTGGTAAGAGGGCCATGGAGTCTAACAGCTGCTGCTCTTATTACCTGCCAGAACTGAAGCTCTGTATAAAGCACACAATAAAACACACAGCCCTGTTGCTGTTAACATGTATTTAATTTATAGGGCCTTGCATGTAAAACTGTTATGTACACTTGCAGCAGATATCTGTATTATCAGCATAAGGTCAGGCAGTTGGCTAACCAAAAACTGTTAGAATCTAGGTAACTTTTCAGTTTTTACCCTTTGGCGCCCTTTATAAATTATCAGTATGGTCTTAATGCAGCCTTATTGGTGCTTTAAAGAAAAAGATACATTTATAAGTGCTTAACACAGTCCCAAGGAAGCCCTATTAATTTCAATAAATGGTTAAAAAAAAAGTGACTTGAGGACAGCCAGTCCAAGGTATATCGCACTGCACTCCTGACTAGTGATGTGTTCGCAGCTCCACGCGCCGAGCCCGCCAGGAAGCTGACAGCGCCGCAGTGCCAATCACAGGCACTGAAACATTATCCTGGTCCGCAGCTGCAAAGATCGGGAAATGTCTCAGTGCCTGTGATTGGCTCTGCGGCGCTGTCAGCTTCCTGGCGGGCTTGGCACGTGGAGCTGTGAACACGCACGAGCCCATCACTACTCCTGACGAGAAGGAGTCTGGTCTTGAGGATCTTGAGGACAGCCAGGTCACATGACCTGTCAAAGTCAGGTGGCCAAGTTCTCATCCTATTATGGACAGTTCTCGGCAGTGAATAACTTGTGTAATGAGGCGTGGTATGGAGTAAACACTGTTGTGTCCAGCAGAGAGCGGATAATGGTATCTGTTCTTGGGTTTAAATAAGCCCCTTACAGACATCCTCTGGCAGAGTAAATTAGGTAGTAAATTAGTTAGGGAGCAATTAGGACAAGTATCATGTCAATATAAGATACAGTCCAAAATCTTGATCTCTGCAGCTTTATCAGCAGGGCGTATAACTAAGGTATTATTCAAAGCTAAGTTCTTACCAGATACCCAATCTAGTTTAACATTTTAGATCTGGAATCTGATGAGGCTAATGTAAGTACCATTTTAAGTTAATGGAAAACCACTCTTTGAACTGTTCTAATAGAAGAAGAAATATTGGTGACTTTGGAGGTACTCTTGACTTCCCTAAGAGATTCATTAAGACACAATTAAGCTACAACAAGGATACGATAGTTTAGCACAAACCTGAAAATCTGCAAGACAAGCTTTCAGATGTTGACTGCTGCTCAAGTTGGTAATACTGTCATTCATCTGTGAGATGGAGCAGGTAGACCACCCATCAATTTCATCATTTATGCTTAAGACATCTTCCCATAAGGCCAGGCTCACACTTAGTCTTTCCAGGTTCTCATCTATTCTTTCCAAAATCTGTAAAAAAATAATGATCAAAATCAGCGCTGTATGTAAGCCATTATGATTCTTGGTTGCAACATGCAGCTTTGCAACATAGACTGAAGCTCAGCTAGCATCAAGTAATCATTGTAATAATGATTAGGATAAACTTGGGAATGGTACACATTTTGCTTTTCTTTTAAGGCTTATGCTGGCCATACACCTTTTGGTTTAGAGAATTATTCCTCCATCCTCCAAAAATTGATTCCTCCATCAATGCTAACAATGTGGATGCAGGAATCTCCCCAGCCAGCTTTGGTATTTGGCAGTCAGCAGGTCTCACGGCTGCTGAAAACCCATAGGTGACTGCATCTGATTGGATGCAGTTACTGTTCAGCTGACAATTTTCCACCCAGCTCCTTCAACAAAAGTTGACTGAAAAATCGACTTTTGTTGAGCCAGTTTTCATGGTGATAGGAGAACTCCAGGAGGTGAGATTCTATAAGTAAGGGTATTATAGAGACAGTTATTACCCTGGGGACAAATGCCAGTAATGTAAAGAGAAGCCGTCACCAATGGGCATCTATAACAGTCTGAAAATCTAATCTTGAATTGTTTTAATACTGCAGCCTTTGCTCTCATGTGTGTGACAAGAATGTCTATTTAGATTAGCCCTATGACCTTCACAATGAGGTGGCTTTTTATCTTCTCTTTATCATTCCCATGGGCCAAACCGATGCATAAGCCATCTCTCTAGATTCTTATTAGATAAAATGAAAAAAATAATCTATGATTATTTCTCAAAAATGCAACCAAAAAGAAAAATAATCAACCAATAACTTATAAATGCCATCATTGTTGGGAATATGACATAAAAAAAACTTACAGAAATTAATATGATATTTGACCGATTCACAAGGTTGCTTTTTTTTATTTTTGGTGTCTTTCATGATGAAGAATGTAACCACAATTCTAAATGAGACGCATGTTTTTATTTATTATCATCTATTATTCATCTATTATGTGCAGAACATAAAACGTGTAACCACTTTACCAAATAAGGAACACAAATTACAGACATTAATATGATATTTGACCGATTCACAAGGTTGCTTTTTTGGTGTCTTTCATGATGAAGAATGTAACTACAATTACATATGCCTCGGCTCGACTAAGCCGAGGTGAAAGGCGAAGCTGGCTGAACGGCTGGCCATTGGCCGGCCGACAGCCTGCTACTGACAGCTGAGCCACTTGCAGAGACAGATCAGTGTCCTCTGGTTACCAAGTAACCAGGGACGCTGATCTGTCACTATACTGAGAACCCGGCGGAGCCGTCGTGATATCACGGCGGCTCCGCGGGTTCTCAGTGTAATGACAGATCAGCATCCCTGGTTACCAGGTAACCAGGGACACTGATCTGTCATTAATCTCCCGGACGTTCCGGGAGTCTCCCACTATTAGATAGTGGCTCCCGGCCGCCTGGGAGATAAACACTTTTTCCCGGAAAGGTTTACTCTGCTCGAACGAGCAGACTAAACCTTTCCCTGCTCTGTTTTTTTTTTTTCTTCTGCCATCGGAGCCGCCTCCAGCTTGCTTCTGGATATTGCAAATTGAAATAGCCAATAGGAATCTAGCTATGCATTCCTATGCTGATTTTTCTTCTTTTTTTTTTTATTTATTCTGAGGGCAGCAGCTGTCAGAATACTAAAAAAAAAAAAAAAAGAAACATGCAGATAGCAAAGAAGCCATTGCTTTCTCTGCTATCTGCCATCATTTCAGGGGGGTGCTCTCTCCCCCTGCATTACAAGAGCTTAGCAGAGCCGGAGGTGATATGAAAGCCGACTCTGCTGAGCTCTCATGGTACTGACATTTCAGCGTCCCCTGGTTACTTGGTAACCAGGGGACGCTGATCTGTCAGTACCATGAGAACTCAGCAGAGTCGGCTTTCATATCACCTCCGGCTCTGCTAATCGTTTTCTATTTTTTTTTCTACTTTTTTTAACTGTTTTTCAATTCAGCTTGTGACCACAGAGGTACCGAGCAAGAATAGCCAAATAGGAATAGGCCGAACAGCAGCGAGTAGCCTGCCGGGGATGTCACAGTGAACGGTTTTTGACGGAAGTGCTGCCAGGGGGAGGGTGACGGAGTCTAATGTTGACCAATCGGAGCGGAAGTGTGATCCCGATGGGGATGGTGGACTGATGTCAGCGAGAGCCGTGTGACCCTAGGGGCCACACGTTTACGCTCACCCAGCTACAGGTGAGACCATTACCTTTCTTTCCTGCCACACCGAACCACATTTATTGCGCCAGGTAGTGGCGCTTCCGTCTCTTCCAATTTTTGTTTACAGGATGATGTACTAAAACTGACACTGTATATACAATCAACTAATGTAATGCTGAAATGATATTCATTGTTGAATGACATTAACAGTGTTATTCACAAAAGGGTGAAGAGTTTGGAGAAGGCAGGAGAAGGGAACAATCTAGGACAACATAGCTGAAATGGAAAGTGAGCTGAATTGGAGATTTTTTTCAAATCAGCTATTTTGTCCTAGATTGTTCATTTCTCTTGCCTTCTCCAGACGCTTCACCCTTTAGTGAATAACCCTGTCAATGTTCACCACTACTGATTTTATAGAACTGTGTGTACTTGCGAGCATAAGTCACTGCATGATTTAAACAAACTTAATGCTATCTGCCATTGTGAGAAAGTAAAAAAATTAAATAAAAGGATAACTATAATAAACCAGCAGAGTTGTCTTACATCAAGCCACTGGTCCACATAGTAGTCCATGTCTTTTTTCACTGGTCTTGAGTCACATCCATGAATTCTCTTCAGTTCCACCAGTAAACGTTTTCCTTTGTTGGTGAACTCTTCAAGTTCTTTCTGGTTCTCTGTGATTTCATTCTTGGCTGATTCATGCTAAGTAAACAATGGAGTCTAAAATTAGCAAACACAATCACAAAAGCAACAGTATCTGTCTGAAGTGCTACAACTGAGTTAGGGATAGGGTGAAGAGTTATAACTTGTATGTTTTAGTTCTGTGGTCTGATAAACATATATTTTATAGTGAGATTTGCTGTAGTTTACTTCCTACACTATACTTTAGAAAAAAAAAAAACAGATCATATTTGAAAGACTGGCCATTGGACAGGCAGGAGGAACATGTTATTACTTCCTATTTCAGCTATAGAGTTGACTTATAAAGCCTTACTGTTTCCTGAATCACCTCCCTGACAAATGAACAGAGATTATGATGCAGACTCATTTGGGTTGCTTTACTAAAGACAAATAGGTTCACTTTGCAACAGAGTTTTCTCTTAGCTTTGCGAATAAGGTGAAGCTCTATTGACTTCCATCATCCAATCATGCGCAAGCAAATATAGTTTATTTTCCTTTCAGGTGATTAAGTACTCTTTGCAAACTTAATTACAACACAATTACTAAGCTAGGAAAAAATGTACCACATTTGCTAAGCTAGGGGAAAATTCCCTTGTAAAGTGAAAAGCCTATTTGCCTTTAGTAAATCATCCCCATTGTCCAATAAGATAGAGACAAGGTACCTAAGGCAGCAGCTTAGGGCTTGGTGGATGTTAAGAGGGCCCTACTACAACCCTCATATGCTACTGCAGTAAACCAGGGGATAGTTCAACTGGTTAAAAATGTGCACCTGCCTGTAACTTTAGAAGGGACGATGCAGTTGGGATGATGTTTCTTTATAAAGTCATGCCAGTATAGATTTTGAGAATGTGGTGGCTTTTCTGTTCCTATAGCATTTCTATAATGGTATTGGGGGTACAAAGTTGCTACCTTGCCTGGAACTCAATTTGGCCTATATCCATCTCTGCAGACTGGTGACACTGGGTTTATTGCTGAACCAGGAAATAAACGTGTAGCCTGTGTATTGTAGCACATGTGTGCAAATCGCAACTCAATTAAATTCAAATTTGACAATTTTTGTTTGGACTTTCCAATAATTATAAGTAGTAGCATGCAAACCTAAAACAATACAATATTTTAGAGGGATCTCGATGGCCATTAACTAAAGTGGATCTAAGCAATAAACTTTGAACACTTATATTGATGCATTAAAAAGGCAGTAAAAGGTCAGTAATGTAAACAAATCTACCTGTGAGCTGTAAAAAGCAGACCCTGTGACACTCTGGGTCAAGCAACCTGAAGCCATAAAAAGCAGGCCCTGTGATGTGACAGCCCTTAAATCAGCTACAGAATTTGGGTCAGGTGACCTAAAGCCATTATAGAAAGTTACATGACCCACTACATCTCCAGAAAGAAGACGTCTGCTGACATCAGTGACCTGCTGCACTGACCAATGGCTTCATCTCATGTGATCAACAACCATAAAGCTGCATGATTACCTTTTAAGCTAATACTGGTAACTCCTAATTATGTTATCCTCACACTGCCTCCATAATAGCTGGCTCATCAATAAAAGCAGACCTAACTAGTAGTAACAATTCAAGTAAAACAGTCATTAATGAATTCATCAATATTGGATTCTTCTTGAATATCTCCATGTAGATCTGTTTGATCTGTTGGGAATCATACAATTAAGGAATTCAGGCAATTGTTAGATGTGGCAATTGAATGATGTAGAATACTAAAACTCAAAAAGAAAAAGACATTCTCTTACTTTTGCTATGGTGCGGCGGATGTCCTCTTGATCTTTTAACGTGGATTTGATCGTGATCATATTTTCCACATTTTCTAAAACCTTCATTATAGCAGATTTAAGTTGCTCGTACTCTTTCATTAGATCAATGAGGGCTTGACACTGCTCTTGGCTGAAATAAGAAAAACAAATATATGCCACTGAATAGAAGAAACATTATTAAAGTGCAAAGGCTTACTTCTTGGGGTACTCCTGATGAACAAAGTCTGATGGGCCAAAACACATAGAACCTGGAAGCGTTGTGGATATGGGATTGTGTAATCAAACAGTACAGCACAGCACATGGAAAAAGATTTGGAAGTGTGCTGCTGATTGCTGGAGATTTGTTGCACTAACCTGTACCAATTAATGTGAGTTTTTTTGTACTGTGGTTTATGTTTACCACATATTTAGACACTTTGAACACATTCATCATTTAAAACACATGCACCAACAAGATACATCTACAGTATATACTGCTGTAGATTACCATGTCAATATGGTATTTCTTACCTCTCGGTGATAAGCGTCCTAGTATCTTCCCAAGTAATGTTCAGTCCATTGAGTTCTTTGTCTGCTTCAGCTGCCAGAGATAAATCCTTCTGAGCAATCTGCTTTGCTTTGTCCATCAGCCACTGTCTTTCATGCTGGTATGCGTTAATTTCCTCCTCCAGTTCATTAAAAAATGTCAACCTGTATTCATTTTTAATAAAAAGACTATAAATACCTGACATTTTGAAATTCATACAAAGCCTACACAAATGTACACATTAGTGACAGATCACAGTCCCTGGATGCATCTAACATATGTCCAGAGACAGTGATCCATTCCTCCACATGTAATCGTATCACATATGATAACATGGGGAGTGCCGGCGAACTGCCACTTTTAAATGCAGCCGCTGTTACCTGATCATTAACTTGAATGGGTGACAGTGGCCATCTTCTAAACGGCATATTTGAGATTCCTGCCGCAGGGATATGTAGGTTTCTGCCACAGAAACCTCAAAACGCAGCATAATATCAGGTGTGAACGAAGCATAAAGAGACCCCCAATGCATGCTTGTGGATTTGGAGTATGGAGGTGAGGGAGCTGTAAAAACGAAATACTACCCAGCCCTGAGAAAGCCATGACATGCATCTGATGTTTTCTTTAGAAATCTGATCGGGGAGCGGGGTTACAGGGTTTATTGTTTGTAACAATAAAGTTCTAGCTTAAAATTCACCAGGCAATATTTAAATCTTAAAATAAAATTGGATATGAGGGGACTATCTCTGTTTCTTATGATATATATTCTCATTTAAATGAATCTGGATTCTGCTAATGGTAGCTCTCATCTATGTAGAAGAGGGAGTATAGATTGTCTAGCTTGGCCAGGACCATGTTTCAAGTCTCCAATGCACTCAGTCCTTTTCTTTGATTTGACACATGCACCAGGAGACACTGTAGAGGAGGATGTTCCAGGTATACAGTATATGCTAAGCTGGAGGCATTGATAGTCATTATACTCTATTATGTTTCCAAGCACATGCAGCAAATTTCAAAAGAGCACCGGCAGGGCCAGAAGCCTGACACCTTTCCCAAGCCCTTGAGAGACTGACCAGTGCAAAGTGTATGCTATCTACATTTAAGGACATTAAATATATAGAAATTTGATGTGAGAAAAGGGGTGGAGTTAGGGCTGGAATCTAGATGCAATTATAATGGGACTTTTATTCTTTGTTAAGCCTAAAAAAGTGAACAGTTTCACTGGATATACATGGGGCTATTCACATGTGCAACTACCTCAAAAAGAATTTAAAAAGTCACAGCTTCTTTCTACCATTTCTAACCACGTTACCTGACTAACTTGTAGCGACAAGTTTGTATGATACTTACCTCATTCTTTTTTACACCCTGGAATTTGTTTACTAGTGACACAATTCAGGGTTATTCACAAAGGGGTGAAGAGGTTGGAGAAGGCAGCAGAAGTGAACAATCTAGGACAACATAGCTAAACTGGAAAGTGAGCTGAATTGGATAATTTTTCCAAATCAGCTATTTTGGCCTAGACTGTTCACTTCTCCTGCCTTCTCCAAACTCCTCACCCTTTAGTGAATAACCCTGAATTGTATCCGTAATGTACAACCTGAGTTCTTCCTTCTGATGAAAATGATTTTAATTTAAGTGATACAAGTATCTATTCTTATGGGCAAATATAGGAATACAAGCACACTTTCTAGGCTAATACATTTTCTTTCTTCTTCCAGATATATACACTGCAGGTACATTTTTTACATGTTTCTCTGAAAACAAGAGGCAAGAAAAAAGTCGATTCATTTTTTTATTACCTTTGTTGAATTGCTTGTAGGGTTGGCTCTTTCATCTCCTCACTGTCTGCCTTTTCTTCAATGTCTTCAATAGTCTTGAGCAGCCTCTCTCTGCAATCAATAAATGATTTCCACAAAGCTCCAAGAACCTCTGCCTCACTTAGCTTTGTTCCAAGTAATGTCTGTACTTTTTCTAGTTCTAGATTGAGATTGTCACACAGTGATCTACAAGATGTTCTCTGCTCAGTAACTGAGTTCTTTAGGTTATACTGTGCTTTTGTTAGTGCAGTATCTAAACCTGTGGATAAGGCTGTTATCTTGTCAATGTCCTGTGAAACATCATTTAAGTCTTTCCCAAGTGCGTCTGATTTGACTTTATCCAAGCTGGCTGCTCCCACTACTGTTTCTTTTAAGATCTGTATAACTCCCAGTGAGTCCATATATATTCTTAAGAAGTCTCCTAATTTGGAAAGGGATTCTTGACGTCTTTCGGTGACTTGGCTTGCTTCTTCATACAGCTGTAAACAGTCCCTGATCCTTCCTTGTAAAAGGGAATGATCTTCTGAAATGGTGAAGGTACATAACTTAGCACACTGGCCATTCAGGTGACTGACATCCTCTTGTTGTTTTTTCATCTCTGCTATATGTTTCTGAGGGAAAAAGAATGATGTAATTAATTGCTAAATAAGGTGAAGTCTACTCAGGGCCGGATATTCGCAGAGATCACTTGTACAAAACAAGCAGCTGCTTCCCCGCTGTACATTTAGCTCCACTTGCCCAAAGCAGGGCTAAATGTAGAAAACAACTACCCGCCCGGTATCCGGAACTGCATGTCGTGGGCATCGGGAGATAGGAATTTCACACCTGTGCTGCCCCTCTTCTCCCTGCTGCCCCGAGGCCAAGCCTTGGTTGGCTTTGTGATAACTCCGGCCCTGAGTCTACTCATTAACTGATAAAAGTGATATTTCACTATGTAGGTTAAGAATGATAGGTGGCGTCCATCCCGGGCGTCATATACCTTATAGATTTTTAGCAACGAGATGTTCTATCCATTCTTCCTTTCACTTTTGCCTATTATCATTATTGCTGTTGCATACTCCAAAATATCAATAACATTTAAAATGCAAAAAAGAGAATGGGACCTCCACCAAAATGTCCGTGGAATCCGCAAGAGTTATAAAGTGTAAGGCAGTTTAATTGTTCAGCATCTACCAAAAACTTAAATATTAGCTGTGGTTGACAGATTCAAAGCAAAATCTAAAACATAATTCAGCTTTACTATGAGAATGAAATACTGTACATACTGTATGTACAACTGATTTGGTGTGCAAATATTTCAAGTGCATTAGAAAAGAAGGATACCTCATTTAAAGTCACAGCAGCCTCATGATTAGAGGTATTGATCTCAGCGGTTTCCTGAAGTTTTCTAAGGAACTGTTTTATCCAGAGAGACGATTCAAGCAACATGTCATCAAATTTCTGATGTTCACCCAGGACAGACTCCAAAATACCGATCCTATAAAAGTGATATAAACAGTAATGGTGAAGCAAAACATTATTGTAAAATTCTACACAAAAACAATTTAAACATTTTAGCTAGTGGGCATATTTTCACAATTTATTTGCATACATATACACTGCTAGTGATTATATGGAATAAAATGTAGTAACATTGTGACGACATGGTGATCAGTTTATAAGTTGGATGTGTATTGGTGTTGGGTTATGTTTGAGTGCGTTATGCTGTGTGACCTGGTTATGGAAAGAGTATCAGCACCATCCCTCGTTATCTCCCATTGTTCTCTGAGGGAGCTCAGAACAATGACATTCTGGCCAGGCTCCTGCTATGGCCGTCTGGAGTTCGTTAGCAGGTGGACACCTGTGGTGTTGAGCAGACCGATGGTCTGGGAGGGGGAGGGGGGATGTGATGGGATTATATTCTGATTTCATCACTTGCTGTATATAAGTTTGTGCAGTTGCTCAATAAATCAGAGTTTGTTTCACCTACACTCGAGCCTTGGCTAGTGACTGGGGAAACTGGGAGCTAAGGATCTTCAGGTTCCAATATCTCCTCAGCAAGGAAGAAGACAGCGGCGGACATACTCATCCTGAGTACGGGGGTCCGTCACAAACATCACCAACCTTTTAGAAACAGCTTCAGGTAGACTATTCCATCTTTGCAACAGATCCTCTAAGCGGCTCCTCATTGACTCTATGCCACTTTCGGTGGAGGTTGGATACAAAGATGCAGACAGCTGGACCAGAACAGTGTACCTCTGGGATTGTGCTAAGTCAGCATGAAGAGCCTGGTAAATCCAAAATATCAGTAGTTACTTCATCAGCCAAAGTATTTAAAACAACCCTGAGGAAAAGATCTATTCTGCATTTTTTAGAATCAATATTTCATCATCTTTAAGCATGTTTACTATAGGATGACAGTTTAAAATGATAATGGAGGACTACAATCTCATGTTTAGTTCACCAATTTGTATTGAGATTGTAGTCCATCAGCTTGGAGCGGTGGCTACTTCACAACACACACAGGAACCATGGGGTAGAAAAGTAGAGCCCCCCCCCCCAGAAGGAAGGACAGTGTCAGCATGAACTCAGAGATGATTTGAGGAACTACAGCTAAATGATGCACAAAAAAGGTACATTTTCGTTAATAGTTAAGGTACTTGAATGCCTTTTAAAGATTTAACTCCTGAGTTTAGTGTCACTTTAAAGGAAACCTTTATTTAGAGAAACATGAGGTGCTGCCATAGTTTACGTCTCTTTCAGCAAATGTTAGCTTGCTAATTGTCATGCTTGCTTTATTACACTGAGTCACTAACCCAGTGCAAGTATGCTGTTAATGACTTCTGACTTTCCTGAAATGTCAAACCCAAGCCAGCATCAGCATAACTGCCAGCCAATTAACATTATCAGAAAGAGTTAAAAATGAGAACCACCCACAGTTCTATTAGAAAAGGTGTACTTGAAAGCCAATTTCCACCTTTTCAGAGGCATTTAAAAAAAACATATGCCAGCAATGTACACTGAGTCCACATGAAGCAGGCATATGCTGCTGAATATGAACACTAAAACGTACATTTTATTAGCTTTTCTCTTCTTACCCACATGAAAAGTTCTGCCTCTGTGCTGGGCAAGAAATGTGTGTATACCCCCTCCTGACAGTGTATTCTGTGTAAAGGCAGAGCTGGTGTTCACTGATCATGTAACAATGGGTGATAGGGAGGGGGCAGGCGATTACAGTCTGACACCCTGGTGTCAGAATGAGTTTCCTGTGGAGAACATTTTGAATTTTTAGGCTTCAGACCAAATAAAACCTTCATAAAAAAATGAAGAAAGCCTGCAATGTGAGTCATGCAAATGTGCATATGTGTACATCATCACTGCACCTCTTCATTACCACAATTAATGCAAATCACTTACAAAGGTGGAAATGGACTTTAAGAAGAAAGGCTGAATGGGAACAAGTCAAATACAGACCTCTTCTAGTGGTTAATCCATGACTCTCTATATTTAATACAATAAATAAAATATGGAAGAGCAATAATTTGAAAATGTGAATGTTACAGCCAAAATGTATTAAAAACCCAATTGAAGAATCATACTATTGCACCTCTGTATAGTCCTGTACAAATTTTTGTGATTGAGTTTTGCAAAGAAATTCCTAAATGTACCTTTTTCTCCCAGAAACAAATGCTAATTCCTACACTTTCACACAGTGCTTTGTGCTGGTATAGCTTAGTACTAGCCTCATCACAAGTGTCCTCAAACAGACCAGTATTGCAGAAGAAGAAGAGGAGTGTGTCAGACCATGCTTGTTACTGAGTGATGATAATTGAGTGTACTTGTCTAACTGAGTTGCCTGCTGAACTGTACATTCATATTCAGAAACTCCACACAACTGCAGTAATAGGAAAGTGCAGGTAGAAATTATGAAAATGGAGTTGCTAATACAATGTCTGTATGACTGCATATATACATTTCTGTGACTGGGTTTCAAGGAAAGCACTACAAAAACTACAAAAGATAAACTTATTAAAATTGTACTGTACATTCCCTTTAGGAGCCTTAGAAATATTATGTAACATCTCGTTTTACTGCTTGGTATCAAAAGAAAACTCTAATGTTTTAAATAAACATAAACATGAGGATGACAGTGCCTGTGGAAGGGTATGACTACAATAAAGAAAGGATGGCAACAGTGATGAGGTCCATGGTTAATATTACCTTAGAAAGAATATTTCAATAATATAACTTGTACAATCCCAGATATCAAGTTTTTAATAATTTTTCCATACACATACATACTTGTTGGTTATGGCACATACACATACCTGGACTGCCTGCATATCAGCTCCAATTTTTGTTTTGTCTGCAGGGAATAGTTCTTGTGGAGGACTGAGCAATGCTTCGTTTCTCTCCAGCCAGATAATAAAAGAAGAAAACTCTTTTTCTTGTCTAAAAGACAAAAGCAATGATTACACTCACCACATCTTCATGACTGTAGATTCCTAAATAACAGACAGCTATCACAGAAATACACAATCCTCCAAGTAAACAGGATCTTAAAAATAAGTTGTGGAGATTCCATGCAATGCCCAAAAGTAAATATCCATGTACTGTATACTTAAAGGAGAACTATGAGGTGAGTGCTTTTCACTCACCTCATAGTTCTAGCCGACCTGTGACAATGAGACTGTCACAAGTCGGCTCAGTAGATCGGGAGGTGAGCGAACACATACCGGTGTTCGCTCACCTCTCAAACCTGTCACGGCTCTCTGCCGCGTCAGGGGAGGGACTGGATTCCCCCCGCTCTGATCCGCCAGCGCTGACTGGCGGAACGGACGGGGGAGGGGGCGGGTACAGCTGGCTCTGCCTCTGGATAGGCAGAGCCAGCTGTCAGTCACGCAGCTGGGCGGATCCCGGCATAATTGTCGGGATCCGCTTCAGCTGCGGCGTCTCAGTATACCGCAAGCTACAGCTCGCGGTATACTGAGCCTAGGGTGACGGGAGGACGCTAGTTTGTGTCCTCCCGTTACCCTAAGGAGAACTATGGGGAAAAGCCTTAACCCCATAGTTCTCCTTTAACTCCATACACCTTATTACATGCCACATAACGCTCAATTACAAAACAATATTAGACCATTATTGGATTGGGTTATACCTCTGCCAATGTGCTAGTAATTGCTCTAGCAAGGAGTGTCTCTCTTTGGCTTGTGTCCAGGCAGTTTCAATTCGTTGTTGAAGGTTTGAGGTCTCTTGCACTGCTTTATCCTTATTTGTAAGATTACGAGCACCGGCAGTCAGAGAATGGATTCTGGTTTTCAAACTTTCAACATCATGACAAAGATCCTGTGGGTAACAGCAAACACATTTTACAGAATACCATGAATAGCGTTAAGCAGTGAAGGAGTCAAGAGAGTATGACACATGAAAATCACTCTCCTGTTCAACTCTGCTCTGATTATTTATGCACATCTGATTGATGTCTCCTTCCATCTCTCTACATCTATAAGTGCCAGGGTTTGTAGAACGTTGTGGGAAATCTATCAATCCAGTGAAACTAAAGTACAGTCAGCTTCCTTTGTACTCTATAGGGTACATTAGACTAGTGGAATTGTTGAAAGATGAACTGAACTGTGGAAACTGTGTCCACAAAAAGGTAAATAGAGGGCGAAGGACTAGTAAACAACATTGCCTGCAGATTTCTTGCCATTGATCTTTCCTCCATCACTGATTAACCATGCCTTGTTCCACTCTGTGCCTCTGTGTGGAGCGGCTACCTTGATGGAGGAGAAGGCTTTGCTTACTCATATCACGACTGCCCTTCTGATGACTGAGGAAGAGATAACCAAACTCAGCAGAAGAAGTGAAGAAACCACAGATCCCCAGATACAGCTTTCTCTTCAGTGAGAAGCACAGTAGGCCCATCATCAAATCTCACCCCAAATCACTTGACAATAGCAGTCAGAGGCAGCAGAGCTTTAGATGTCACACTGCAGATATACCGTTATAAGGCTCCAGGAATAATAACGCTTAGGCGCAAGAAGTGTACTGCTATTTTTCAGAAGGCAAAACATACATTTTTTAGGGTATTTCTTAAGTACAATTAACACTTATAGAGGTTCCATATAACATAGCAAATTATGATTTTTTGATGGGGCCCAGAGAAAGGTAATATTTACATGCCATGCTCTCCTTTACACACATACACATCAACACATTTCTGGACCCTGGGATAAACTTTTCTTTTTGCCTGTTTAAGGGAGTTAAAATTGTGTATAATTAGAAGGAAACACAGAATTACCTGATGTTGATTCAACACTTTGTATGTCTCTGCTGCAGAAGGACAGTTCTTAACTGGGCATGCAAGAGAAGCTTCAATGTTCTCCAAAGAAGTTTGAACCTGCAGAGTGAATAACAGATTTAATACTGATATTTAGTGCAATGTTACCTACATATTCTGCAATCAGGTTGGCAAGTACAACTTAAGGATCATGTTGAATGTACATGAAGGCAAGAAAAATTAACACATCAAAGGTTCAGCATAAGACAGATGACAACCTCAAACATACAGTCTACAAAAATGAAATGTATTAATTTCTAATATAGTCATAGCTAACCCCGAATCGCCTGACAATACCAGTCAGAGGCAGCAGAGCTTTAGATGCAGATATACAGTTATAAGGCTCAAGGCATAATAACGCTTAGGCACAAGAAGTGTACTGCTATTTTTCAGAAGGTACAACATATATTTTTTCAAAGGTTCAGCATAAGACAGATGTCAACCTCAAACATACAGTCTACAAGAATTAAATGTTGTATTTTCTAGTATAGTCATAGCTAACATTTATGCAAAAAGGGTGTCAACATTTTCCATTGAAAACTTTTTCCCCTTGTCTGGCTAGACTTTCTTAAATACAACATTTTAAATTAAGGTATTTTGCATTACCTGTTACTGCTATTATAATAAATGAGTACACTACAAACTAATTGGACTTGCAAGTAAAGTACATTATTTATATTTCATACTGTAAGACAGTAGCCACTGCTAAGAAAACAATTTGTGCCTGATATTGTGATAGTGGAAATCCTCCTTCATTCTACCTGATGAAAGGACTCATCAAATTTTTGTTGCTGTTCGGCATGTCCTAGAATGCTCTCTTTCAGCCGTTGAGCATGTTCTTTGAGTCCATCCCAGTCCTTGACCATCTGTGACAGTCTGGATCTTATCCGAGTCATCTCAGGAGAGCTAATAAATTCAGCAAAAGACTGGCTGTTGGCTTCAAGATCTGCCACTGCATTGCTTTTCCCCTGTAGTTCCTTTAGTATTTCCTGTAAGAAAAAAAACTTCATTTACTGACAGTACATTACTAAGAATGACTTTAACTTCAAAGTACATAAGTCTTGATTTATAAAAAGTAATATAAAGGTAAATGAACCAGCCATGTTCCAGCTTATGGTATGAAAACAAATATACAACTGCTTTCCTTTGGCACTAAGTTTTTAAAGAAGCATTCTTTTTTATTATAACAGTTTTTTTATTATAGCAGTTTGTGTCTAGTATACATTTAGCCAGTTGACATTGTTGTCACTGTAACATGCTCTTAGTTTTCAGCTTGCAATGTCCATCTTCTGCTAACAAACCTTCAGCCTTAGATTATAGTATTGATTAGTTACTACATGCCAAGGGTGGGCAACCTTGGCACTCCAGCTGTAGTGAAACTACAAATCCCATGGGGCAATCAGAGTCTGACAGCCACTGGTATGACTCCCAGAGGCATTATGGGATTTGTAGTTTAACCACAGATGGCGTGTCGGGTTGCCTACATCTTCTATCTGCATTTACTCTAAAGGGTTAGTCCACCAAAAACTTTTAGTACTCATTCTTAGCTGAAGCCAGCAGCTCCCTAAAGTAGAGAAACCTATTGGGGTGGGCGGGTTCCCAATCCCATGGACCAAGTTTTGTTTTTTTCCCACAGGTCTCCTGATTACTGGCCCAAGCAGTGGGGGCCGAGTGTTTTCTGATAGCTCAGACAAAGAAACTTGGAAGGTGCTGCACTGACAAGAGTCTGGTTTTGGACTGCTGCTGTCCCAGGAAGGGGACATTACCAAGACGCTGACTAGATACTGCTCAGTTAAACCAAAGGTTTGCTTTATCATTTTGCTCATTTATTTTACGGCTGCATGCCTGTTACCTTTCTGCTATTTATGTGGAATAAACAGCTTGTTTTGTTGACTTTAGTTGACTCTCCATTGAGTCAAATCCTTGTGATACTTAAAACAAGCCACCCACCTCCAACACATTTCACACATATAGGCTTACTCATAGCTCCACCATAGATATATAGACAGACAGATAGATAGATAGATAGATAGATAGATAGATAGATAGATAGATAGATAGATAGATAGTAGATAGACAGATAGACAGAATATTAAAATAAAAAGGGCGAAATGCGACCACAGAGTAAAGTTACAGTCTTTTGGTTACATGAATCAAGCAACTGTTGAAAGCAAAATTACTAAAATGTGCCTTGCAGTGTACCCTGTAAAATTCTTACAACTATTTTCTGTGCTGATTTGGATCGGCCGAAGCTACGGCCAGATCCTTCGGCAGCTTTGTGAATAGACCCCTAAGTATGTAATTATTTACCTGGATATGAGTGACTTGGATGTCTGCTGAAATATTTGACAGTTCAAGGTCACTTAATTCCTTTTCTTGATCTGAAATCCATGTGGCATGCATCTCAAAATCTTGATTAAAATTCTGCCACCTGTCCTTTAACCGTTCCATTTTGGTAATGCTTGAAAAAAAAAACCATAACATTTTAATGTATACAAATAAATACAATTTTAATAATGAAATACAATTTTAATAAACACCTAAATTCTAAGATTTAGACATTCGGCAATTTAATTTATTACAACTGTTAGTATCTGCTTAATTCCTTCTCTGGATCACTTAATGGGTCTGTGTCAATGGGCTTGTTTCGATGGGCTTGTGTTGATGGTATTAGTTTGCCATACGTTTGAGAAGCTTCCGAGATCTTTTTTTTAGTGCATTTTGGTGCATTTGACCCGCAGTTGACCATAGACTTGCATTGATATTCAAAACCCATTTGAAGCAAACTAAAATCTGTAAACACAAGCCTAAACTGTGTCATGTGTGGCAATCTTCATTAGCAATATCAACATTTGACAACAGGTTTTGTCAAAGATCTGGAAAACTGGACTAACCTAAGACATGCATGGAGGTGTGTCCATGACAGCCTGAATTCTCAAGAGGTTAAATGATGTTGGCCATCTTTCAATCAGAAACTGGCCAGCGATGAGCAAAGTTAGAGTACAGCACTTGTCCATAAAGAAGGTGAGTATTGCTAACATTTTTTAAACAACTCTGGATAAGCAATGAAGGGGATTATATAAAAAGCTGGAATGGGACCTTTTTTAATATGTATAGAAAAAAATGCAGGTAAGGACAGGACCCTCAATCACAGCATATAATATATGAGAAACAAGAAAGGTTGCCCCTAAAAAGCTTTGTCCACTTACTTCTCAGATAGGTACTTTTTAACCTGCTTTGCATTCTCATTAACAGTCTTAGTTTTCTCCAGTAGGTGGCGCTTGCTCTTTTCTCCAAGCTTTATGTCACTTGACTTCTTCACCAGGTTCTCAGCTTGAACTGACAGATCCTCACTCTGTTTGCAAATTTCCTGTTAATGAAGATACAATCTAGCCTTAAGGCCACCCACAAACACTACACAGTATTTTGAGTAGAGATTTTGAGGAACAATTCATACAGATAGTTCAAATCAAAGATTTCCTGAAGACAAATGTGGCACCTGCTTGATCTACAATAATTGAACTTTCTATCTCCATCTTAACCTGATGGAATCAGCACACACATTTTTTTCATATTTCCTGTACCTGCAAACAAGATGTGGCACTGTTACATGCGTTTTTTACAAATAAGATTGTGATTGTATATGGGAAGAACTTACACAGCAAGCACTGTCTGATGGCTAACCCAACTCACACTGGGCTATTAGTGCATTGACATTTTAGGAAATAGTAAGGGGTGCTCATTGTTGTTCCTACAACTTTTTTTTGTATATAGAAGTTATAGACAGATGTAATCATCACCACCCTTTTTTTTCGGTGACAATTTAGGTTTATTTCAACATTTTACTAATGGTATATCAATAAATAATCCCATGATCTAGCAAACAATCAGTGCTGCCAAAGAAAAGGTATGTTTGAAGGACTTGATGTCTATGAGATGCTCATGAGAATTAAGTTATGAGAAGTCATTTATTGTTGTGTGCAGCAAAGACATATAATTTCATTCATATATATTACTGTACATACAACTGCATACACACAAATATAATCTTTATTGCTTTACCTTTGTTTGTTGAAGTTCTAGTGATAGATTGTCCACTGTACCAAAGTTCAAGGGTCGTTCAAGTGTAGGTCCCATTTGCTTTAAATGGTGGGCAATGGACTCTTTTCCAGTTTCTATTTTCTCCCAATTATTTATTGTGTCCTTCAAAGAAAAACATAAATAAACCAAATCCTGTAAACATATGTCACCCAACAAGATAGTGGTAGTTATAGAGGCTAACCTCAGAGCTTTCATCTGCATCAGACTCCTTTTTGAATATGTGCTTTGAAATGGCATTTTATATATTACATAAAATATTTAAAATATTTAATGGAACAGGGGGGGCTGGGAACCCTTGGCCTGGGGGGCAACTACTGGGGGGAATCATGCTTCTGTTGCTTTTCTGGCAAAGAATCCTGCTAAGCTTTTGCAACACTTTTTTTTGGTGAAGCATTTTGTTGCGCTTATTCAGCTGCGACAAAACATTAGGTGCGAACCAGGCCTTAGGTCAGACAGAGCATAACAAAAGCATGTGCAGCTCAGCTCAGCACAACTGAATAACCCCATAAAACATGAGTTTTAAAAGGAGGAGTAACCCTTTTACTTACTGGCTGAAAAGTTTAAATGATTTAAACATAATTTTTTCTGCAGTTTATTTAGTATGTATTATAATCTGCAGTATATCTTAATGACTGATGCAGTGTTGCCTCCCATTTACAGATATATACCTGCATCATTTTAAGACTTTGGGGGTCCAGGATAAGATTACCTGAGTGGATCCCCATCTTTCCATTCCTCTTACACACAAAAAAAATCCTATATATAATATCAAGTATAAAGACAGAGCGGCAGCTACTGAGTTTCTGTCTCTCCTCTGCCATGTGCTAGCACTGGTTTATATCCTACTTTGGTGCTGCCTGCATTGGTCAAGTAGCACCTGATGTACTGAACATGCAACAGATGCAGCAGTGGGGTGAGGAAGTGACATCACCAACACCCTGAAAGTAGGCAAGTACATGCAGTATGGAAGTACAAAACAATTCTATATATCATATCAAGTATAAAGACAGAGAGGCAGCTACTGAGTTTCTCTCTCTCCTCTGCCATGTGCTAGCACTGGTTCATATGCTACTTTGGTGCTGCATTGGTCAAGAAGCACCCAATGTACTAACATGCAACAGATGCAGCAGTGGGGTGAAGAAGTGACATCACCAACACCCTGAAAGGAGGCAAGTACATGCAGTATGGAAGTACATGAGTCCAAGAGATCTAAGGCCCAGTGACTGGGGGGGTCTGTTACATATTGCTAAACACTGGGCTGCCAAAATATTAAATACATGTTTTTTCTGGCCTCCCAATTCTGGCACAAAGATAAGACATCCTTGCTATTTAGAACTATTAGGAAGATCACTCTATGTTGGCTGAAAACATAGCCAAGCAAATGATCTTAATACAAGATGGCTGACTTTGTTAAAGCCCACCCTACGAGAATGAAGATAAGTGATCCAGCACTTCAGTGTGGGCCTGCAGCCAACCAGTCATATTGCCACCCCTCACAGTGCTGCAGTCTTCTGAAGCCCGAGAGGACCCTGACACTGGACACCCAAAGAGAACTGTCCATATTATCCGGGGCAGCAACGGGGGCACCTGATAAACTACCCTTCCACTCTGCAGTCCAGAAGACTCGGGATCTAGTGCATAACGTGATGATGGACTTAAGTAAAGAAACAGGCATTTAGATTTAGATACTTAGATTTGATTTTTTTAATTGCTGCATTAATTAGCTAGATGGGGGTGGAGTTATTTTTGTGGGGGAATGTCTGGCCAGGGTACAGCTTTAACAAACACTCCGGCTTGCTTACCTTTAGGTCTTCTTCCTGTTGAACCAATGTTGTCTCCACATTTTCCATTTCAGCTTCCATCTTCATAAATTCATCATGGACATCTCTGGGCAATCCCTTCTCAATTTGTATCTGTTTGGCACGAGTAATCTGGAGCTGAACGTCCTGTTTCTTTGAACGTATTTTCTTTACATTTTGCTGCAAGAGTGTATGGTACATTATAACATGATAAGAAAGCAAAGGCTAATTAGCTAGTATTCTTACAGGTACTACAATTTACAGTGTGATAACAAGTCAGTGTTGTACCAGCATCAGTGATACCCAGACTAGGACCACCAAATATACTTTGCTGGACAGACATTGACACTGAGTGACTGACATACCTGAGAGAATTTTAATAAAAATAGGTTCAAGCCACGTACACACACTCTAAGAACAAAATTCATGCAGATGGCCATCCAAAACCTATGAGAGTTTGGCTGAAGTGGAATGATGTGTTACAATGTCAGGTTGGCCTTCATTTTAACATGGCTTGGGGAATCCAGATTACAACAATGAGACTACAAACTAAATTTAATTTTCTGACTGATGTCAAATTGTACAAATATCATTAAAGGTTATTTAGCAGATAATGTTCCACAATTAACTGTTGCAAACATTTACATGAGATGTTCATTTGAAATATAAAATGTTAATACCTCATAACGAATAAGTAGCTCCTGAGCCTCCTCAAGGCTTTCTGTGTTGAGGATCTTCTCTGCTTCTGATTGGACATCTTTTGAGCTTGTCACTAATTCGCTGAGCACATTCTTTACTGCCTCTTTGCACTCTACACAATCCCCAACTGTGTTTAAAATCTTCTCAGTCTATTGGGAAACAGAAAAAATATGACAGTTTCTCTACGGAGCCTATTTATCAGTTTTCACGGAGTCATATAACTTTCAACCAATTGAATCTCATGTGAAAATGGGTAAATCTTGCATTAAAGCATACATATACCACTATATTTTATTTTATTAATGCAATTGAATGTTATGATAAACATATATATATACATATATA